ACATGCAGGTGTGTGTTTAGTTGAAACGCCTTCCTAAAAAAGGAGTATTATTAAAGATCCAGTGAAATACTCGGAGTTGTGCTGAAATCATCTGAAAACAGAAATCTATCTCTATATAGCAGTCTTTAAAAAAAAATCTGTTCAAATAAAACTATTTAAAATACATTTTTTTTTGGAGGGAGTGGAACTTTTTTTGGGGGGGTGAGTTTGATCATTTCAAACTCATTAGGAATTTCAGAAATTTAGATTGTTTCAAAAAGATTAGTGTAAAATTTTTAATGTTTTGTAATAATGTCACTAAGCTAAGTTTAAATTATTATTTTTTTCTTCATTTCAGGTTCTGTTGCAAAATGTGAGAACGAAGGCGAAGTCCTCCAGATCCCATTTATCACGGACAATCCCTGTATAATGTGTGTCTGCTTGGTAAGTATGGAAAGTAGGTAATAGGAAGCCAATTGTTGCCACTGACAAGATTAGTCCATTAAATATAATAATATAACCAGATCTTAAAAATTGTTTTTAGCCATTACAAAATTGCACATAGCTGGTGAATTGAATTCAGTCGAATTTCTGAGTTTTACAGACTTTGGCTATTTCTGTTTCATCAGGCTGGGAATTCTTATCTTTGACATCATCTTTACGGAAGTAACTTTAAGATGGACTTTGTATGGCATTGTCTCAGTGATCATTACCTTTTGCACTGACTGTTCCCCGGGAACGGCTATTAGCCACCAAATCATAGGCGCCATCAAACTTTCTGCTTTGAGTCTGTCATCGGAGCTCAGTGTGAAAATGATGAGATAGCATTTAGGTACCTTACAAGGGATAAGATGTGTGACAATGGAAAAGAGAGGTGACAGTCACAAAGGACAAACATGAGGACGAGATGTAATCTTGGATTTCTTTGCCTGTTGTAGCCTAAACTTTCAAAAACAGTCTTTATATTTCTGATTTGGTGAAGCATGAGTCAGGAAGGACATTCAATCCTTAATAAAGAATGATACTGGCTATCAGTTGCTTAGTTAACACTGGCAGCGTCCAGTAGATTAAAAAAAAATAATTTGTTTCAATTTATTTTAGCTTAATAGTTAATGATAAGATCGAATAAATAACCACATGGGGGAGATTCAGATATATGAATAAGAATTTCTGAGATGAAGTGTAGACTGACAAAAAAAATATATTTTTAAGAGAGTTTTACATGCCAATCACTTTTGGCAAACTGTGATTAAAAACTACACACCACAAAACCCTGTTGGAAATTCGCTGAGGCAGTCAAATGCACAGCTCCAAAGTGATAGATGGCTGTTATCAGATCAACATGCTCTATGGAACAGGGGAGAAGGGGTTCTTCTCTGTTTAGGTGAAAGCCAAGCCATCTGGATTTAAACTACCCACACTTTTTCATGACAAGAGATGAGGTCAGTGTTCCAAAATGATAAATGGGTGAAGCTGAATGCCTGTATCAAATGGTTATCAGGTTCTGAAGACTGAGAGAATCAACCGAATCAGAAGTGAAAATGCATTACATTTGCCGGGAAGATAAATGTCGCCGCCTTAATAAAATAGAGTGAAGATAGAAGGGCTTTTCAGATTTTGTGTTTATGAGTTGCCATGTAACTAACGATCTCTCACTAAAGGACCTGTTGAAAAGAAGCTTCGTGTTTAAATTTTGACCCAGTTATATATTTACAAGGGCAGTGTGTATGAGGGGGCAGAAGGATAATTTTCCTTTTTAATTTAGCTTATCTTTATAACGTGAGTGAATTATTTTATCGTAATCTCTTAAGATTTCAGAGGAAATTACCCTGACTGAGTAATATTTAAATGTGCTTGGAGCTCCAAGCTCATGTGAAAAATATTGTTTTTCTTCCTCGGCAATATTACTATTTATAAAGTTTAAATATACAGTTTGGGCTTTGCAAACTGTTTCCAAAAATTCTCCACACAGCATTTCCCCTTTCAGAACCCCAGCCTGGTGGGAAATAGTGACTTTCTCTGAAAACGAAGCTTTACTGATAAGGTGGAATCCTGCCGTTTTGAAGGTGAGGAGTGATGAGGAAAGATGCATCAGAAAATTTGAACTTCAGGCGAAAAGCATATTGAATCCAGAAAAGTATTGATTAAGTTCAGAAGGGTAGTGGGTTCATTTATGTCTTTAAGTGATGTTTGGAGGTATCTGCTTTGAGTGACAGCTGTCGGAAATCCTTCTTACCGTGTCAAGTCGGGGCTCGGGCACTTCCTTATTAGGAAGATGTCTCAGAGTTCTTTCACCAGCAGAAAGGCTCAGTGACACTTTATCGTGACCTGCGCAGGGGTTTAGGATGATGGGACCCAAGCTGTCATAGTCATCGGTGCTTCCTAAACATTTGTCATGACTCGATAAAATTAAGTAAGAATCGATGGATGGCCAGTTTTCTATCTGTATATGGTCTTGTAAGTTTCCACTGGACTCTCTGCAGTCCGTGGATTCCAAAACCCCACACTTGTCATGAGGCTGCTTAGCATTTTTCTACTTAGGCTGGAGGAGAGGCCTATTTAACAGATAGATAATATTAGCAATAACTAATATATATGAACCACTTTATTTGCTGGCACTTATCTAAAACTGCATTATTTTATTTAATCCTCAGAAATACCCCTTGAGCGCTTTTACCCCTACTTTACAGATGAGGAAACTGAGGCGAGGGCAATGAAGCAGCTGGGGAAGGTCATATTTTAGTAAATATCAGAGCCGAAACCCTCTCGCTTTCGTCGGCCTCTAGAACACATGCCTGTAATCCGCTGAAACAGGCGATTTGCTTAGTTAACGTGTGAAAAAGCAAGCAGAAAATAGGAAGATCGTCGAGTTATTTCACCGCTTGGAGTTGCTCCGAGTTATTTTGTTTTTTCTTTGGAGTCTCTTAGGAGTTCGGCTAGCTAACATTTGTTAATCACATTATATGAAAGGAAAATCTCGTTATTTGAGTTGACCTGCAGGGAGCTTTGCTTGTGAGCTAGTTTTGTGTATGTACATTAAGAGGGTATGTAATAGTCAAAACTGTACTTTGGATAAAGAAAATAGTCATATTTAGTTTGTGTTGGTCCAGCCTTTTGGCAGAAAGTTACCTAAGGCTGAGCATAAGCTCGTATCTTATTTCATAACATGTATTAAAAAAAAAAAAAAAAGCCAACCTCAACATATGCTTAAAAAAGACATAAAATGTTACAGTTGGGAGGAAATAGGTGGCACAAAGTCCTGCATATAATTACGGTGTAAAAACTCGAACCCCCCCACCAAATCAGCTTGGCCTGATTTAAACTTCTAAGCTCCGAAATGTTTCAGAGGTGGAATGAGCTCATTTCTGTGGGCATTTCGAGCATGACAGCGGGAGCAGTGGCCACAGCAAGCAGGACTGGATAATTTTATTCTCATTCATCCTCGCCTGCACAGACCCGAGCCTCCTGCCAGAACCAGTCGTGGTCCAAGAATAACCTGTCTGTTAGCTGGTGATAGATATCGTTTTAAAGTGTGTGGGACAAAAAGCTTTGGTTCATCCGTTCAGGGGAAGGTGAGAAGCTGGATCGTGGGCCTGAAACCTGGGATAGGCAGCTGAGTTGAAAAATGCAAGTGCTCTCTTGTTTGGTCAGAAAGCAAAGCATTGCTTTTCACTGCCGTACAAAGTGGTCTTTGAAGAGGCTAAGGAAGGAGGGCCCAGACTTACTGCTTTGTGTGATTTCCTCACTTCTTGCTAGAATTATATTTCCCATGACAGGGGTGTCATCCCTGAGATAGGAGCCAGACACACCCCGATAATGAATCTAGAGCAACTCTCTGGCTCTCTTGGGTGTCCCTGAAGCCATCGAGTGAACCCGAGCAGTGGTCCTCTGGCTTGTCACCCCCTTCCTGCCTACCCGGAGCAGAGAAGGGGGTGGCACGAGCCAGTGAGTTCGGCCCAGTGCTGGAAACCTGAGAAAACTTCGGAGGTCGAGACTCAGAAAACCAGAAGTCAGTCAGAGCTGAGTTTGGCAGACATTTTGTTCAGCAGAAAACATTATTCCGAGGTTTAAATTTCCTCTTTTAAATCCAGAGGTGCAATGTAGAAATGGACCCTCTGCTCATAAAAAGCAACGTGAAATTTGGTGTTACAAGAAGCGGGACTCCACCTCTCCCCAGGCCCAGCGAGCGGTGAACACAGAAGAGACTTTGTCTTCTGTCTTCCACTTTTTAATCACAAAAATCCTCCATCGCTAAACAAGTAGCTACCAGCGTCTTCGATTCTCTGGGGTGCCTTATCTCTATAAAATCCTCATGTTTTTTACTGTTCAAATTAACTGGCTAGAGAAGAGATATCTATTATCTGAACAAGTGTTAGGCACATGTTCGGGAATGAGGAGGATAATGTTGCATCAGGATTCAGTTCGTGTGTGTGTGTGTGTGTGTGTGTGTGTGTGTGTGTGTGTGTGAGAGAGAGAGAGAGAGAGAGAGAGAGAGAGAGAGAGAGAGAGATAAAGTAATCCAGATGTGTTCAGAGAGATACTGCCCTTAGTATACACACATGTACATAGACTGCAATAATTTTTTGAAAATTGCTTTGTGTCATTTTTAGACTTTGGATTTCCCCTAAGGAAGTGATCAGGATTGAGCAATTGATTGGTCGATTCATTCATTCTCATTCATTTATTCATTCATTCTCTCTTTAGAAGGTATTTTGTAATCCAGATGTGTTCAGAGAGATACTGCCCTTAGTATACACACATGTACATAGACTGCAATAATTTTTTGAAAATTGCTTTGTGTCATTTTTAGACTTTGGATTTCCCCTAAGGAAGTGATCAGGATTGAGCAATTGATTGGTCGATTCATTCATTCTCATTCATTTATTCATTCATTCTCTCTTTAGAAGGTATTTTGACCAATTGCCTTCCCATAGAACAATATATTCAGTGGAACAGTTTTAATGGGAAGGTAACTAATTTATGGCATTGGACTGGCCAATTCACCAATACCGGCCCAGGCGCGAATTATTTATTGAGGCTCAGAGAGGCAGAGCCGGTGTCCTGAGTTACAGGTTTCTGAGAGGCAGACTGGGATGCGAAGCTAGTGCCTTCACTAAACCAGTGTGTTTCTGCTAGTCGTTTACTGCTTTAAAACATCTATGGTTACTCCTCAAGGGCTTCAGAGA